GCCACAATGCGCACGTGTGCCGTGCCAGTCACGCACACAAAGGAGCCGCATACCCCCCCCCCATCCTCGCGGGGGGGGGAGGGGCATCGTGGCGCTGGACGTCGGGGGAGCAACAAAAACCACAAAACAAAGAAAAATATGTCGCCAAAGTCTGCGCGCTGGCCCTGCCTCTCTCGGATGGGTATGAAAACGCAGATGGGCTCGCGCTCTCGCGTACGGAGATGGGTCCCTGGTGCAGCCCGTGCACTTGCTCACTCAAACCGCTGCTGGCAGAAGGACCTCTCCCACTAGAGGGCGCTTCTCTCTCGAGAATTTCCAGATGGTATGTGGCCTACTTTTTTTCCTTGCTGGCCAGATGTCTTGGAAGAGAATATGAATGGCTATTTATACTGCTGGGTGGACATAGGCGGGGAGATTTCGGGTGCCATGTTGCCGAAATGTTATCTACCTCGCCTGGTATATAGGAGGTCGTGGGTTCGATCCTGACAATGACGCCTGTTGTATATTTGGAGTTTGCATGTCCTCCCTGTGGTCACGTGGCTTTTTTTCCGGGTCCTCCGGTTTTCCCCTCTAGAATCGACATGCGTTTTGAGTAATTTGGCTGCTATAAATTTCCACGTGATAAGCCACTTCTTTGAGCTATCATTTGTGGCCAAGCCGCTTCAGAAAAAAGAGCTTGTATAGCTCAGTGGGCCTTACCTGGTAAAATAGTTTAAACGTTTTTGTTTTAAGATTCAATAAATAGTCCTATAGTTCCAAAGGCTGTGCCAGAAGTTCAAACTGAACCGGTGACCTCTGGGTTGCAAGTCCAGAGTGCCAGCTATTACACCCGCTATGGCAGCCTCCCCGACGTCCTGTACCTCTGATTAGGTTATCTCCTGCAGAAACCAAATGTTGAGTTCAAGGTTCGTGTCAAGCCGCGGAACACTTTTCGGTTTACGTTACACGCGCTATCGTGCAATGTGATCAACCTATTTTTACTCGTAATTTCTGGAAAGATCTAATACCCTCCTGAAAAAGAGTCTTGGGACCGAGCGAGGCTTTCTTGGATAAAAAAAAAACGGTCGCCCAGTGATAGAGCGAGCGGCTCGCAGTCGGGAGGTTGCGAGTTTAAATCCTTGTCAGGGGTTGGCACAACCCATCATCCCTCCGATGTCGATAGAATGACCAAGGAAGTCGATAACGATTGACCTGCAGTGTTCACCTCCAATTTACAGCCCTGAGCCAGTGGTGGAAATTCCACATTCCCATGGTGTGGTCGAGACTGTCCACGCGTCAATCTCTGTTAATCCAGAGGGATGATAGACTGAGTAAACCCCCAACCAGGATTTGAACTCACAACATTCCGATTGCAACTGAGACACCTGGTCAGCTTGTGTAGAGTTACTCAAAGATATATACACACACTCACAGAGTGCTTAGAGAGTCTGTGGCTGTCCAAAGTGCAGAAAGCAGCCAGGATTAGTTTCGTCAATCATATGCAAGCCAAAAAGCTCTCCGTTCTATCGTCTTGGATTTCGGACACCTGGCTGTGTCGTCATCGTTTCAAAGTGAGAACCATCATCATCACAACCATCATCATCACAACCACCACCACCACTACCTATCGTCGTCATGAATTTTGTTATAAAGCTGCGGAGATTTGCCAAGCAGAATTGCAGCAGAGCTTCCGTGAGTTTCTATTGGTGCCGGGTTTGGGATCGCGTTTCTCAAGGTCGGCGAGTGCCGAATCGGCTGGATTCCTGCGAGTTCCCGGCGACCGCGCCCCTCTGTCGATGTCAGCATGGCCCACACATGTTCATGCATACGAGATAACGGTGGAGTCCTGCAACTACTTGCGCGTGCCTCTGCTGGAAAAATAGCTTCCATTAGACGGGGGGGGCGCCACGGTGGCGAGATGTTAACTACCTCGCGTGGCATTCAGGAGGTCGTGGGTTTGATCCCAACCCTGATGTCTGTATATATGGAGTTTGCGGTGTCTCTCTACCCGTGGTCGCGTGCATTTTTCTCTGGGTCCTCCAGTTTTTCCCTCCACATTTAGAATCAACATGCGTTAAGAGTATTTGGCTGCTATAAATTGGATGAGCCATTTTGTTGAGTGACCATTTGTGCCCAGGTTGCTTCTGAAAGAAGAGCTATAAAGCTCAATGGGCCTTACATGGTAAAATAAAAAGTGTAGTTTTTAATTTTGATTTAAAGCTTTCATGACTGCAGGGATTCATATTCTGGTTCTTTCGGTAAAGTCAAGTAGAAGGGAAAAACTAAAATAATAAAAATATAAAACAATAAAATTATCACGACGTTTCGACTGCAACACAAGCAATCACCATCAGGTGTGAAAACCACTGAAAGAAAATTTTTAAAAAGTGGCGGTTATTTTTAGCGTTAGCACCACGGAGAGCGATTTGACATAGATGGACTCGTCCATCTGAACAAACTGTCAAATCGCTCTCCGTGGTGATAACGTTAAAAAAACCCGCCACTTTTGTTCAAATTTTCTTGCTGTGGTTTTCACACCTGATGATGATTGCTTGTGTTGCAGTCGAAACGTCGTGAGAATTTTGTTTCATATTCTTCTTATTTTATTGTTTCCCTTCTACGTGACTTCACTGAAAGAACCAAGAATATAGTGTAGTTTTAGTTTAAGTGGTAACGGCACCACCCCACACTTCACCCAAATGCATCCGACCTGCTGATCGACTGACTGTGGCATACACATTGACTGCTGGGTGTTCAGAGATTACGGGGGGGGGGGAGGATTTGAGAAAACCCGCCCCATTTTTTCAACTACCGTGTTGTGAGATCGAACCGGCGACCTCCGTATTGCAAATTGTGCTGTCCTAATCGTTACACCGCGGCAGCCTTTATCACAAACGCTCCACCGACTTCACCTTTCCCAGCGCTAGGAGTGTGCGAAGGCGCAACAACTCATTGATTACAAATGATTGACGCTCACGCTGCAGGCAAGTGGGTCATGCGCACAAGAATTGATTCAACTGTGATTTATGCAAATGCAATTCAAACAGTGCGCTAATGCTGGACGCGATCAATTATGCGAACGAAGCAAACAAAACCGTGAACACGAATACGTAATGGTGAGTGCCAATGCAGATGAGAAAGCAAAAATGAGACCAAAGAAAATCTATTTTTAAATCGAATCGCTCCTCCCAATCGTGACCATCACGCGCCCGACCGCCAAGCTATCTCGCTCATACCCACACCCGCACTGCACCCGCCAAGCTCCGCAGGTACATTCCTTTCGTGCCACCTCAAGGTGTGTAAAGCACGCACGCGTCTGTGCAAGCGCCTGTGCCGCCGTGCCAGCCTCAGTAGGTGCTCAACTCACGGCACTTGCTCCAACAGCCTACGCAGACAATACGGGGCGACATCAATGCGTTTTGCCTTTGTCCTGCTGATGAAGCCCTGGTAGGACGTGACTTAATGGCTGTGTTCAAGCTCGCTCTCTGGCGTGTATTTGCATGTGGCGCACATGCACGCGCGCCCGCCTGCTCAGGAACCTGGCCGCCTGGGCTATCCTGGATATACAAAGTCGCGTATTGGATTGCGAGCATAATTCGTTCCGGAAACGTGTTTGTAATCCAAAGCACTCGTATATCAGTTGTGATCACGTGATGCTCGGCAGACAAAGCGTGTATACGTACGACTCGTATTGCAAGACCTCGCTCGTTTATCAAATTCATATTTATTTAAAATTTTTGCTCGTCTCGCAAAACACTCGCAGACCGATTGACTCGCAATCCAAGGTTTTACTGTACCTTTGCGACCCGCAATTGTAGAACGTGCACTTGCCGAAAGAACTACGTGCGTGCGCTTGTGTGTGTGTGTGTGTGCGTTGCGGTGGAGCGGTTAGTGGGCCGCACTACGAACCCGGCGTCACGAGTTCAATTCCCGCACGCGACCTGCCGACGGAATAACTGTGGTGTACCTATAAATACTTCTGGGTGGAGAGAGGCGGAGGGGGGGGATTTTAGAAACTTGCTTCAACAGCCACGCCGGGAGATGGAATTGAACTGGCGACCTTCGAACTGCATGCTGACCGTTAAACAACGGTGGCTGTGACCCCGGCTGTATGCTATATGGCACGCGTGTGTGTGTGTCTAAAATCGACTGAACGAGGCGGTAAGAAAAATATGCAAGTGGTGCTAAGCATTCCGGATTTAACAGTGTAATTAGCAAACGCTTCACAGTAACAGCGGATGGTTAAAGCCCAACAAAGCGATTTCCTTCCTCGGCACAGTTCGACAAGGGACTAGATGCTTTATTGCGTGTTTTGACTTCCAAACTATTCCCAACTCGGGCTCCGTAGGAAACCGATGCAAACGTATCAAATAACGCGCCTCGCTGCGGGGGGCACCAGGGACCTATAAAACGGTACGGGGAAGCGTTCAACGCGGGGGGCTTTGGAACGTCGCGTTCCTCTGGCTCCGTCGAGCAGCAAACAAGAGCGAGTTTGTCCGACAGTTGGCACCCACGCCCGCTCTCCCTGACGAACGCTGCCTTGGTTCCTGTGGTTTTTCCACGACACTTCGGTTGGCACTTTCAGCCAAGTCATCTTTCATCTGTTTCGGAGCGTCGAGAGAGAGAGAGAGCGAGCGAGTGCGTCCCGTGCGCGCTAACACAAGCCACATTTTGCATGCGAGGTTGGTAAGGACGCCTTTTGTGGTCGTCTCTCTCAGCGATCACTTCCCCGTTCGCGGTGCCAAGCATTTCGGTCACGCTGGCGCGCGCGTCACCTACCGCGGCCGGCGTGCTTGCCGGACCGCACAGAGTGATAACTCAAAAGGTCAAATGTACTCGAGTACATTTAACCTTTTAGAATTTTTGTTCGCTCACTTTTTTGTGGTGTACATGGATTTGCATTGTTTTCTTGATCGTTGTTGCTTGGCCCCGCTTTTGTCCTGGCGCCTCGACACCGTACGTCCCTGGGAGGTGTAAATAATTCGCGATGAAGACGGGCGCACACCACGGGCGAGACTCACCTCCGTACGCGGAAGGTAGTCCGGGTCGGCCTGTACGCGGGCTATGATCTCGCACAGGATGATTCCGAAGGAGAACACGTCAATCTGCCGGGGTTCGCAACAAGCACCAACAAAGGGGGGATGAGAAACGGGGCTGACCGGAACGGTAGTCGCACGGCGATCTAACGAGGCTTCGCATACTTAACCTCAGCGCCACACACGCACACACACAACACCGTGACAGGTGTGTGGGACACACAGCAACCTTTCAAGTGTCAACATGACCTCTGCAAAGCAGAGATGAGGTTCTCATCTGCGTGTCACTTTGCATCTGAGCTGGAATGCGATTCCCGGCAGTCACGCAACGCTTTGTTTGACCGTACGCGTCAACCTTCAAGGTGTTTCGTGGGAGGAATTTTTGACCCTCTGTTAGTGACATACGACAATGTTGCGCGCGCATGTGTGTGTGCGGAAGGGTTAACCCGTCTCTTGGCTCATTGCTGTGGGTCGAAAGCTTTAAGTATGCACCTACTAACAGCAAGCAAGCACGCACGCACACGCTGCCCCGTCCTTCCAGCGGGGTCAGGATGTAAATGAGGCAGGGGCGCTGGATGACAGCAGGACTTTTGACCGAAATAAACTGGCTAGTAAATAACCTTTTATGACAAGCGAGGGCTATTCATGGTGTTTAATGACAAAGTATGCGATATTTGTTTGGCTGCAGGCATTATATAAACCAAAGGTAAGGTCTAAAACCGGCGTTCAACAAGCTCGATATCTGTGTGATGAGTTTTCGGGTTTATGGGTTGTAATTCGTGTTGTTTGAGAAGCTCCCGGGCTGCACGTGGAGCGAAACATTGGACATGACGGGCGGTACGACCCGTAACCAGCGGGGGACAAGCTGTACGGCAGCGCAGCTGCGAAAAATCTTACACGGCAAAATAAAGCTCACGCAGAAAGAAAAAAAAGCCTTCCAATCGATCACGGGGATGTGTGAAATGTTCAACGATACAGATGGCCGTTTATTACCGGTGGCGGTTTGGCAATGAAGCGATTAAAGCATCGTTGAGGCCGAAAAGGCTTTAAAAGTTCTCGCTAGCCCTGCGTGCAAGTCCGAAGCGGTGCCAAGACGATAGAAAACTCGAATCACAGAACTGTCAAGGACTCCCCCCGCACATAACGCTTGGGGGACAACACGCGAGTTTGACAGCAACGTCTCGCAGTGGGGGACTTGGACTCGCTCAGTTACGAAACGCGTCACTGGCCTGCGGGGGGGGGGTGGGGGGGGCAGGTGAGCCCCGACAATGCCCAGACAAATACCGAGGTTAACCAAAGAAATTAGAGGTTGCATAGTTTCTAGGGGGTTTGGTTGATGCACATGAGCTGCCTACTCCACGATGAGAGATTAACTAATTAAACGGAGGGCCTTGCACGGTGGTGACAGATGACGAATGGATGACAACGATGCCTATTTACGAAAAGCCTTCACGCTATGGTGTCTATTAACAAAGTGCGCCAGGCTGTAACCGACAGCAATGGCAACACTCGCATTGGTCGTTGTGGCAACCCAGGTCACTTGCAAATGAGGCTCTATGCTGGTCTGATGAGTTCTCACCAGGGTAAACATATAAAGTCGACTTGGCTGAATTCTATTGGTCCCGAGTGGAATAGGCGCGCAAGTGAGAACCTTCAAGCCGCACAACCCACGACGTCCAATATGTATTTATTCTTTTAAAGTGTAACCCTTTGTTAATACACGTATGGATAAAGGCCTCTTCTAGTTGAATAACGACCATTCCCTCTCGAATGGCTTTACAATATATGAAACTAAATGCTTTCAATTATTTTATTTCCTTCGAAGGTTTTTAGTGCAACTGTGAACATGTTGTAACTGGCGTCACATATAATTTATGACTTTATTGATGGAATTACATTTTCCTGTTTTGCAATTCATTTTCGCTCCACCTGCGTTTATCTTTGCCCTCGTAAATTAATAAAATGTTTAAGCAGACAACATGCCCCTTTCAAATATCTATCCCTTACCATAAAATTCCACGACAAAGTTATGGGAAACCGATTTCACAATAATCGTCAACATGTGAAAGTTGATGTCGTATTCACTTGTGAAAACATAAAATTATTGTGCTTACCGTCTCATCGTAGATCTCTCCACGGAGAACCTCAGGAGCCATCCAGAAGGGGGAACCCACGACGGCCAGGCGCTCCCGCTCTCCCTTCTCACTGGAGCACAAAGACAAATACACCCCCGTATAGCCTCACCAGGACTTCTGGGGCAAGTGCTGTGTGCGATTACCTATGGAATTGGCCAAACATCTCAATGTAGCAGGAACTTCTCGTGAAAAATAGCCTTGAGACTCAGAGAGGCCTTCCTTGATATAAAAAGCCATTCTTATGATTATTATAGCCAAAAGCGTTGTGCCAGTGGTCAGTGACCCAAGCATTGCACGCAATCTGGGAACAAGCGACCCTGCTCCTGCGCTGCCTGGTCCAGATATTTCTTTGGACCCATGACAAACAAATTCCTAAACAATTCCCCCACTAGTACACGATTAGTCTGGCTAAGGTGCTTGGAAAGCGATGGGAAAAATATTGCCCCGTGGGGCCATGTGACCGTGAAGCCGTGGGCTGTGGGTTTCCCACCCCATGTCCCAAGTAAAGAGGAGACCAACAGCTGTCCCTGGGCAGAGACACATGCCATTGAGTAAAAGTGGTTGAAAAAGACTTACATTATCCTTTGTGTTATTTACAGGTCCCCTTTTTGAACACAGGTTTCAAACACATCTCCCACACCTCCGGTTAGCACGGTTGGCTACGAAGGGTGCGAAAGGAGTTCAACATACATACATACAGTGGCGAGTGCAAGGTGCCCAGGTATGCACGTGCATAGAAAGGGCTTCTTGTCAGCGCACGATTGACGTGCAAATATTTAAACTCTCCTCGCAGCGCCTTATTCTTGGCACAAAAACAATGCCGGCGCTCTTGACCAAAGAGGAAATCTTCACACTCCACAAGCGCACAAGAAACTGCTCTCATTGCAGCCGCTGGGTTTAACCGAAGACAGCGGAGGCGGATGAAACACATCACTGGGCAAGTTTCACTCTGTAAACCCGTGCTCCCGCCATGCCCCTGATTCAATCATTCTTCTTCCGCTAATTCACGATTTCTGGGGTCTTATTTCCTCGTCGATTTCGCCCTTTTTCTTCACACTCAGCAAGTGCACAAGTAATTTCCAAAACAGTGGCATCAAGTTTAACCGAAGGCTGAACGGAACTGCTGAAAGACAACGCTAAAGAAGTTTTAACTTATAAATCGTGCTCCTACCACCAGAACCCCCGGTTCTTTGCAAAAACAACTGCAGCTTTCATTGTTTTATCTTCTCCTGCCAAATGCTGTTATTATTATTTTTTGCGCCTGAATAGGTTGTGCTGTAAAGCTCTCGAAAGCGCGTGGCATTCGGCTTGTATCAAACACCACGAAGCACAGCGCGGAAATGCACCGGGGGGGGGGATCTGGTTTCCTTGTCAGCTTCTCCCATCTCTCCCCGTATCTCTCATCTCTCCCGTCTCTCCCGGTATCTCGCGATTCCCTCTCCTTGTCCCAAACTCCACCCAAGGGCAGCTCCGGCAATTAGGCAACACCGCGGCCACAAATTTTCGAAATCACACTGAAAATGCACACGGGGTGTAACTTTGAAGGCAATTATTGATATTTATAGAATACATGGCTCAGTTGTGGAATGTGTAAACGGTTTGACACACACAGGAAACCGAACATACGATTCCAGCGTGGATGAAGAGTCGGGTTGCCCGAGTACGCCCGACACCACAGTAATTTGAGCACAGATGTGTTGAGTACGGGTCCAAAAGGTCCAAGATGCCAAGTGGCCAGCAACAACAGCACTATTCAAGGTGTAATAGACGAGTCAACTTTTTTTATGAGGTAATTAGACATTTGGGAAATTAAGATTATTACAGAGGCTTTCTTCCCCCATTAAGCAAGGCTGACATTCTTTTAAACTGAATTCTATTTATGTATATTTAACTTTTTTGCACCATACGTAGCCAACCGTTGATTATAATCGGAGGTGCAGAATTGAACGTCTTAATTGGTTGATGTGCTGTGTCCAAGTAAGAAGCCACTTCATAAATGGAACGGTTTTCCATATTTTTAGTATCTGAAGTGTATGTCCCGCACCGTGGAACTGCCCTGAGAACATGTCTTTGGGTCCTCCATGAGACAGTCCTATGAATCACTTATTTGGTTTCTCCTTGACTGTCTTCTCTTATTCCTCTTTTTTTTCCAAGACATTTCCCAACATGACCTGCACCCCTTCTCACCCACCTATATATATACACAAAGAAATACATATGTTAACCTGGTAAAATACCAGATGTCAACTGCAACAGTGGCGGTAAAAGCAAAATCATAGGTGTGACGTAGAAACTTGGCAGCGGCGTGAATCGTAGCCTGTCGGCCGCTCACAGGGGTGACCCTGAACGTAATGTGGGATTTGACCGAAATCCGTCGCCGCAGCGCTAAGCGCACAAAATCCAGCGGGGTTCCAATTCCGTGACGAACGTGCGAATCATCAATTCCACCTCTCCACCTTGGATGGCAAAATACTCCCCGAAACCCCCCACCTTTTTTTTATCGACAAATATGTCAGCTTGAGATGCAAGCTGGCAGTTGTAGAAGCAGAGGGGTTTTGTGTGAACAGTGCCACTGTTCAGGCCAGGATTAGAGGCAAATGGCTCCTCAGGCAGGGGCAGTGGACGGGAAATGGGCTCTTAGTCACGACTGACCTACAATCAACCTCGGGTCTCGTCCGTGAGTGACACGTCCGAGCACACAGAAGTACGTGAAGCAGAATTGAGACAAGCTAGCAATGTATACATTATGAGAGTATGTTTTTTGTTTGCATTCTGACCACAATCATTGTGGTTAATGCAGACTTGATTCCTTGTAAAAGGTTTCAGTTAGGTGTTTTAACATCATAACGCCTGTTTTGTTGCCAGAAAAAGGGGGGAAAAAAACTATTATTAAGCTAGCAAGGATTGTTAATCGAGAAATTCGTTTAAGATTTTTTGTTTTATAATTTACAAAATGGATTATCGGGACTGTTCTAAAAGTCACGGAATTGATCATCGCATCTAGTTCATTTTTGGGAACAATCGAACCGATTGGCACACGGCAAAGTAAAAACCGCAAGGAGCGTTGCAATAAGATTGGTCACTCGAGTCATGGGGGCTGCTTGACCATACTTCACCTTGCTGGTCATAAGTGTGAATGGAGGCTGCCCAGGACCAGTGCAATATCACTGGCAACTGATGCTAGCAACCACAGCTACATCCGGGCTATTTATAGCGGGGATGTTAAAGATCAGCTGAAGAAATTCGCAAGCGTAGGCCATTGTATGCTAGTGCCAAGGGTGCAAATTTACCAAATTCGAAAATTTATTTACTCAGTTGGGACTATACACAGCAATCGCCCCCTACTGCCAGACAAATTACCGCAGGTCACTCTTGCAAAGGAGACTATCCTGGTTTCGAGTTCTCACGTGGGTTAAACATTTATATATATTTTATATCTGCTGACCTTGCTCGTCTTACGTGACCGGATTTCACAAAAACAGATCTCGTTTGTAAGCCAGCCCAACCCTTCAAAGCACTGCTTGGCAAGACAGACAAACAAAAATGTCATACCTGCCCCTACCACCCTATCACTTGGGATCTTACCTGCCATGTGGGCAGGCTGCTCGACAGCATTGCTCACAGTGACAGCAAGAGAGAGAGAGAGACAGACTGGGCATTTCACAATCTCGGTGAACATCATCCCACTTCGCTTGGGCACACAGCGCTGTCCGAGACCTGGCCCTCATGTGGGTCCCGCTGGCCACTGATTGAATGCACTCTAAAAACCTAATCATGTGGACTTTATATAAGGCACTGTACGAGTTTAGATTACAGATTAATTCTTTTTCTCCCAACATCAGCAGTTAAATGCACCGGATTGTTTCTCCATTATCAAAAGTAATTCCAAGAGACGATTAGTAGCAAACTAATTCAAAAACACATTGGCAATGACCACTATTGTTTCTGAATACAATGTAACATAGCACAAGAAGCTGATGGATAACCCAAAGCTCAGTGCTTTTGCCTGTAACTCAGTTTGAATTGGTGGGGCGATTTGATTGCCAGGCAATGGCAAAGTAAAAATGCCATTTATTTACCCAGAAAGACCTCACCGAGTATCAAGACCCTCCTGCAGGAAGGAGGTTTCTGCATTGGGATGTATGGCCAAGCGTGCCGATGAGTGTTTCATATTCGAGAAGAAACTGGAGAACCCGGAGAAAACCCACTGGGGCATATGAGGGGGCAACACTCAGCGCTGCTATCTCCTGGCCAACTTCACAGCCCCATCCTAACAACGCCTGGCAAGCCCCGGTGAAGCCTACCAGGCTTAATACAGCTTAGCTTGTGTAAGCTGATAAGATCGAGTGCATTTAAAGTGAGTTTGGTTATTAAGTTGTGGGTCATTACCAAAGTGCAGAGTCCCTGCAATTACTCCTTCACTTTGAAGCATGTAATCCTTTACATATACATTACTTCTTTGGCCATACGCGAGCGTTTTCATTGCGGGCTGGGATAGAGCAATTCTTTTCCCCCCCCCAATGTTCCGAGTAGAAGTGTTTCCTGCCAATATGAGATGTGTGCCACCGCTCACAGAAGTGTAATGATTCAAACAACCAGCGATGCTATCAACGGTTGCAATCCAGGGCAAAGATTTAATTCAAGAATCAATGATTGGTTGCGTCGGTTTACCATCTCATTTGTATTCTCAACCTTCGGCAAACCAAATTAAATCAGTTCCTGAAGCTCAAACAAAGGCAAAGCGTCAGACATCATGCTGAACATCACGGCGGTAAAACTAAAAAAAACACACTGGAGCACGAGTACTGATTTTATCCACCTCTGCAAGCATGATAGACCGAGATGAGCTCTGACCGGTATTTGAAATGGCAACTTTGCGTGACTGAGTAATCACACACACTATAACCATGTGGCTTGTGGTTGTACACATAGAGCCCTTAATTAATCCACTGTTGAACGAAGAGCCTCCCAATGCTGTGCAGCTGTTGAGTGGGGGTGCGGGAGGTTATTTGACCATACTTCATCACGCCGTGATCACAGAGTGTAACAAAAACAGCGGTGTGTCCTGGTGGCGTTATTTACTTGCACTTTGGGATCGTCTCAGCCAGGCCAAAGTCCCCGACGATGCCCGTGTAGCCGCTATCGTCGTACTTTATCAGGCAGTTCTGCAATCGCCAGAAAACAAACGCAAAAAAAAGACAGACTTTGCACGATCAACTCTGGAGCCGAGAAGCAAGAGCGCGCGAGGTGGCGGCAGCACAGGTGTTACGTAACATGTCCCCGAATTGAATTAGGCGTTTAACCGCAGCGCCGCAACACCTGCGAACACAAGGAGACGCACGCAGGAGCCCCGTAGACAATTAACATGTCAATGTCCCTGCCAGTTCTCATTCGCTGACGGTTAAAGTTATGCGCCACCGTTGGGAGAGGAAAAAAAAAGCAAGTGATAAAATGTTCCCGAATCTCTTGAAACGTTGCAGAACATTTATACGAGCGTGGAGTGATCGTGATGGGGGGGCCAGGTTGTGAAAGGAAGATTTTAATAGGTATTCTTTTTTTTTTACAGGAACTTGCAAAAAATGTTGTAAAGAAAATAGAAGGAGCAAGTAAACAAACGAGCAAGCTCGCCGCCGGCATTCAAGCACCGCCCACGTCTAATCTCCATACTCCCGGTGGACATTGGGCGTTTTATTATTTTCCTTCCCTTTTGATTGTTCCACCACGAAAACCACTGGGCGTTACAAGGAGCCATGACCCCCCCCCCCCACCCACAGTCGTTAAAACCACCCAGCGCAACTTTTTTCTGGAAGAGTCAAGGCTGCAAGTGCCTGTGAACGCAGTGTCTCTGCGTAGAGAAACGGCCTCATTGACCTCTTATAGCCAGCGGCGACGGCTTCCCCCCACCGCCTTTGCTGTCCTTAACCACGTCCACCACCGTCACCGGCAATGGTCTATCCGCTGCTAGATGCCGGTAACCACGAGCCGTCGCCGTCTCGCGATAAAAACAATCCATCTCGAGCGGGTCTCATCGCTCCGTCTCCGCGGTGGACCTCCCCCCGGAAGCGTTGTCCCTCCGTTGGCTGCCACTCCGTCGTCAGTCCCGATCGCCGGCCATCGCCCCCCTCCTGCTTGGGGCGATGGCATGTCCGAAGACGCGGCCCTGCCCGATTATAACCTTCTCAACACTCGGATAGCTCTAACGTGAGTGTTTTCTCAGTCCATGTCCAATCGTGCATCTCTCCACGCTCCTTTGCACACTTTTAGATTCAATTCCATTTTCTTTGTCAACGACCGTGTTTTTAAATCTACGTAATACAGAAGGTAATGTACAAACTGGTTTTCGTAGCCAATACAGTTAGGTGTATTTGGTTTTGAGTTTGATGTATGTCAAAATCCTTGAGATTTACACGTGGGCTCTACCGGTGACAATTTGATAAATAAATTTGCACGTACAGATAACATCTTTGTAAATGTAACAATCATGTTGGGTGGTTGAAAGGTTAACGGCCAAGAATTTTGGTATACAACTACCACGCGATCTAACCCAAAGACAAGTACGGATCGGTCAAGTTTGATGTCTCTAACCCGCGTACGTTGTAAACCTTCCAGAGCAGACCGGCGCGACGCAATTGATGCGGCCATCCCTCAACATAAAACGTGGACGGATGTGCAGAAAACAAACAGGCGGCCCCACGCCCTGCTCGATTATGATAAGGCAACAAAAGGGACTGCAGAAGCAGGCAGATTCAGCTCGCTGAAGCGTAGAGGATCGCACGCACACACACACACGCACACGCGCGCCTGCCCTACAACGGGATTAGATTCCATACCCGACCACGCCCTGCCAACATGTATCCATCCTGTGAGGCAGGCGAACACGCTATTTGTTGCCCCACCAACACAAACAGACGCAGGTGCGTTAGGTAAGCGTTCGGCATGTAATGATTCACACCTCCACCACCCTAAAATGAGCCGGGCGGTGGCGGTGCACATGGGACCTCTGCACTTTCAGAGGGCTGTGCGGCTGATGGGACGTGTAAAAAAAAAAAGAACACTTATTTTTTTAAGTGGAGACGCAGGTACATGAAGCATAAGTCCAATTATTTATCTCATTAATTAAATCCTCCACAACGTCGAAAATTATTTTACTGCACGCGCAAGCGATGCACCGCTTAACTGCACCTTGGAGGTGAGGTCACGGTGGAAGACGCCCCTCGAATGCAGGTACTTGAGTCCCCGCGCGATGTCCAGGGCCAGCTTGATGCGAACCAACCACGACAGGTACACGGGGCTGTCCAGCAGCTGCTCCAGGTTACCCCCGTTGACGTACTGTGAACATAAAGCCACGGTCTTCTTTGGTTCTTTCGGTAAAGTCACATACAATGAGAATAAAATAATAAAATAACGCAATCAAATTCTCACGGGTTACGATGGGCACCGCCCACTAAGGGTTCTGGTCATCACACGTACCAAGGCACAGATCGCCCCCTTTGTAGCCTATACAAATATTGTTTGGGACAGTGGTGTTGGCGAGAAACTGTGAAGGCGAGCATGGCACACGAGAGCGTGGGTGACCAACGCCACACCCGGTTTTTGTCTCCCCGGTGGTGCGGTTTAATGCACCGCACCAGGGCTGAGTAGACCAAGGGGAGGCCCAGTACCGTTTGAGATAGTCGTGGTGCTGCCCGCACCGCCGCCCAACCCTGCTCAGCCTCCGAGATCTTACTATTATCGGGCGGCATTCCGGGAGATTTGGTCACAGGCACCGTTTATTCAGAACTCCAACTGTAGCCGTGGTGCAGAGGACAGACGATGACGCACATCGTTGAGGACTGTCTCCGCTAACCAAGCTTAGTGGCGGTCTCAGGATGACACCGCATTCTGCAATTGATGAAGCTGCCGCCCGGCTTGGCGCGAAAGCACAGGCGCTCAATTAATAAATAAAATGCCGAGACATTGCATTCAGGACGCCCTCGCATAAAACTGCACACAGAATGCACAATTCAGACTGCACACCGACCACAACCACTCGCACACCCTCTACCCGCCACAAAACACCTTTATGAGCATTTAAGTAAGACGCCCGCTCGACCATTTCATTCATAATTGATAATGGCATACCATTACTTGAACGTACAAAGAGAAAAAAAAAACCTTCGGTTGAAAGGCAAGAGTTGAAAATAAGAAACCACCCCAGGCAATGAAAACAACGATGTCACCGAAAGCCTTCAGGACACCCGACCGCGACTCGAGCCTCGAAGGCAGGCGGCAATGAAGCGCGACGACTTTGGTGAAACGTCACGCTGCATTGGTTCAAATCCAGCGGCCTCCATCGTTATTACCGCGGGCGTAATCGCCGTAATTATACTACGCTGGCCATCTGCTGGACAGCGGACGTTCAAGATGACCACGACGTCATTTGCAAGATGGCACCAATGGTCCAAATTTGTTGAATTCTAAAATTATTTGCAAAATCACTCAATTGGGATTATACGCAGCGATCGTCACCCTCAACTGACAAGACTAATGCCCCAGGTCACTCTTGCAAATAAGACTCATCCTGGTCTCCGAAATCTCGCTCGGTTAAACAAAATGAACCTGAAGCCCTGTTCCCGTCATGACAAATTGGAAGGCACAGTTAAAGTCTGGAGTGTAACGAAGCCCCGTGGCATGTTAGAAGTGCATGCGTGTGCAGCCAGCGGCTATACTCAAATGACCTCTCTATGGGTGGGGGGGATCACTCACTCGGCTTGCACACGGCACACCAAAAAAAAAATGCACATTTGCCACCAGTGCCACAAACGAAGAATTTTGAAAATAACTAGAAGCAGCAGGTCATGAATACACAGGCCCACTTATTTACAATGAGCTGTTTTTGTTGCTGTGGTTGTGTGTACAATAAGGAGGCAGTATGTAAACATGCATTTTTGTGTGCATGGATTCATGGTTGTTAATTTAGTATATGAGTGTTATTGATATATATTCACATGCTCAAAAACGATAAAAGAAACCTAAATATCATAGGTTTACAAACTGTCACCAACTAGCACTGATCAGTGTGGTGAAATATGATGAAAGAAGCCTCATGACTGATATGGAGTGGTGGTACAGCATTCATCCAGCAGTGGACTGACAAAGTGCTGTAAGTTCTATATATTTGCATATAGGTTACGTGCCATTGGTTGTCACATGACCAATCACATTGATCATGTGACAACCATGACCAATGTTTGAACACTTTAGCGTGCCAATCGATTATATTGTTACTCAGGTTGAACCAGATTTGATGATCAATTCCACGACTTTTGGAGCTGAAAAATTATTCTGTAAACGAACATCCAAAAACTCATAAGCGATTAACAACCCAAGTTGGAGCCATTTTCTGAAACACTCCTGCCCAACCGCTCAACCAATTTCAACGACGGTGGGGTCATTCAAAAGCTTATAATAAGTAGCTCATGCGAGCGACATCGAATTCATATTTTATCACCTTTGATAAATCATTCAGCCCGATTATCTTATATATTAAAATCGGATAGGTGTGTGCCATTGGGAAGGAGTGTGTGTGGGGGCGGGGGGAGGTGGTGGGGGTGATTTGCAAAGGGTATCCTGCAACATTTCAGAAACTGGTGAGGGCGAGTTGAATGCTGGTGAGTAGTGGTGCATGTGTGTGTGTGGGGAGCGGTAGTGTAGTGGTTAGAGTGCTGTGATACGAACCCGGCGACCCGAGTTCGATTCTCCCTCTTGGCCTACACCAGTGAATATAATCTGAACTGGTCCTGGGGCCTCCCCTAGGTCGACTCAGCTTCAATTGAGACGCTAGTGCGATGTGTCTAAACTTTGTCACTGGGGAGACAAAGGCGGCCGGGCATGGTGCTGGTCACTCACCCCCTTGTGTGCCGTACTAGCCTTCATAGGTACTCACTAACAGCACGTGCCTCTTAAGTCTGGTAAGGCTATATGGGGGATCTTTGTCTTTGTGTGACATCGGTGACGAATGTCAATTGAGGGGTCAGGTGAGTGTTATTCAAGTGTCACGTGACCCCCGTCCGTAGGACGGGCTGCCCAATCGCGACATTCCAGAGGCTCCTTCTGTGTCTTACCTCCGTTAGCGCGTGCAGCTGTCCCTCGTGAACGCAAACGCCCATGTACCTGCAAGGAAAAGGGAGATGATCCCAAGTTACAGTGGTTTATGTAACGATCTCATAAAAATGATAATAAAAGAGTACTTTTGTCAGGCCACTGCCGCCTTGTATCGCTCACAGAATGTGCACGGCTCTTAGGATGTGCAGTACAACTCGGTAACCTGGCCATTATTCGGAAACACGACTTATCTTAATGGCTAGGGCACAATGACACAGACCCACACACGGCGATCAGTTTGAAAAAACGAGCACGACACAAATGTTCCCAAAGCCCATGTGGCTCAACCATCCCCATGGATTATGCTGCAGTTTCGACTAAAGCCCAAGAGAACACACAAACATCATTAGAGGACAAAGGGACACGTTCAGAGTCCCCCGTCAGCTTACGCTAGTTCTAACCGCTGAAGTGAGACTACACGGCAATTATTTGGTACTTCTTCACGTTGCCCCCCTCCACTCCAACGCAGCGCATTTCCTTATTGCGGTGCCAAGCAGCGGACATTAGACATGACAGCCATCACCGTGCGTTATTATGGAACGCATGGGAGGGCAGCGGTTCTGTACGGCTTTGTTGGCGGTGTTAACCATTCCCGGTCTTCGGACAAGGCAGCCAAAGCCCCCTGTGGCCTAATTTTTTGTTCACCGTCTACCGGGGATACGAATATCCGGGGAAATGATGTGTCAACGCTTATTTAAATCCCCAGGCGCAAAAAAAAAAAATTGCTCACAGGACCTCCCAGGACCCCGGCCAGTAACGCTTTAACGCTGGTGCTTTAAATACTTGTCATGAGCGAAAGTGAAAAGGTGTCAGTTCTGGAGCTTTCATGGGAAATTTATTTTATTTTTCAAACGGGAGGCATTTTACAATATCAAAAGAGACCATTATAATCTGAAATGTTTCATGGACACAAATTGTGTCCATGAAACAACAAGCCCTCGTACTGCATTAATTGCCGGCGTTTACGAGGCAGGATTAGTGTGGAACACTTCAATGCCACTTATTAAAGCAAATGTAAACTTTTTCAAGTAGAGTCAAATAAAGCATGCAATGGGATTTATATTAATTATTTCCAGTGGGACCCGAACTAATGTATTCCTAACGCAAAATTCAAGTCCCACTTATAGCGATTAATAGTTGTATTTTAATTAAATTATAATTTAAATTAATAAGGCGCACAATCGTTCTCAGGGCGTTAATTTACAGCCCCTTTATCAATTCCCGGGTGGATTAAAGGCCTACCGAGCAGAACGTATCGGTCATGGAGCGTGGGGTGGCTGGGGGCGTGGTGGCAGGGATCACAACTCGTTCACCGACGTTAGGCATGGCTGGGAATCTAACTCGGGTTTGTCGTGGGTTGACGGAGCGGTGCCCCATCACTCCACCTCCGAGAATGTGCCATCAGTACGTACGCTGCTCAGACAAAACCTCGTATTTGTAAAGTCTTTTGTTTCACATCACGACCTGCCGCCCCGAGTTAAGACACGGCTAAGGGTTGGTGTTGTTGTTGTTTCAAAGGAAGCTGACCTATTCGTCCGAACAAACTAGCTGCAACTTTACATTGTAAAAATAAAAAAAAGACAGCTCGCCTGTGAAGGTCATTCAAACCTTTTACCTTCTGGGCCCTGCCATGGTGTGGGCTGCATTGCATCTTTTGATCGGCAGTTGGGTTACTCGTGCGAATGTACTGGTGGGTGAACATTGTTTAAAGCACCCAAAACCATGTACAACTGGGTTGTCTGTTTTGTATGGCAGTTTTTTTATATTATAAATAAGCCGTTCTGTCTCCGAACACAAATAAATAAATACACACTTGGTCCATCATCCTGTTGGCTTTGCTGACCAATATTATCAGGCTGCATGTGCTTCAGCAAACAAATCCTGGGCTGGTTTTGACCTTCTCAGTCTCATCAGCCATGGATTACCAGATCATGCTGGTAAAAGTGGCAAACTGAAATGTTGGGGCCATGTTTAACCCAAATAAACAATAATGAGCAATAATATAATAAAAGCACAAGTCAGTTCGTTATGAATTAGCAGGTGCTCTAAGCATGCAAGTTTTTGTTCAGAACACTTGCATGCCACACGAAGGTGGGCAAGTACGGTTATCTTAAAGCTGCCTGGATTTCGTGATATTCAAGTGTTCACTATTTATATACCCTACTCAACTCTCGGAGGAATGATTGCAATCACAGGAAATGGCAGGTTTGAAGGGGTGGAAAAAACGTCATCTGTTACATGTTATGGCCGGCGTTACACAATGAGCCGTAATGTACACAAAATATGTCGTCAAAGCGTGACCGTACAAATTAAACACAAACACACCCAGGCGTGAGCAATAGACGAGTGTCTAAAACTAGGAGGGCTACGTCAGTAACCAGGAAGGCACATTCATATCCGCGTCAAGAGGTGGGGGGGGGGGGGTCTATACGTGAGTGCAGGACACAGGCACGCCAATAGACCCCTCCCTCCTACAGATGACAGTGACAGCAAACAAAACAAATATGCTATCAGTACTCTTTGGTTCTATTGGGTAAAGTCACGTAGGTGAAAATAAAATAACAAAAAATCACGACGTTTCGCCCACAACACAAGCGGCTTTCATCAGGTGAAGGGGCGAGACTGTCTGGAGGACAGCGCTGTAGTAATTGGTTTCTATAAATGTCCACATGATAAGTCACTTCGTTGAGCTATCATTTGTGGCCAGTTTGCTTCTGGAAAAGAGCTATATAGCTCAGTTGGCCTTACCTGGTAATATAAAAATTGTTTAGTTAAATTGAGCCATCCAGGATAAATGTGTGCAGCATGTTCTGCCGACCATGCCTGGCTTTAGATCGGTTCAGCCTTGAAGAACTATCATGGGAATGCCGACTCGTAGGGTCTGGCCCAGGAATAGCAACCAATCGCGGTCGGTTCCCAGCAATCGTGGAACCGTGCCAATGGAAGCTCTTACAAAACTACCGCCGGTAAGTCGTCTCCTTGTAATTTGTATCACCGCCACCCTAATTACTGTTCCCGTGAACTCGACTCGTTGATTCTTCCACCCGTGCAGATGACTCGAACTACCAGACTGACTGTTCAGTCTCATCCACAGTGTTCAACCTCCACCACACTGCAGGTCACAACAACAAACTCATTCACCTACCCACTCACTCGCCACAGTGCAGGTCACCACAACATACTCACCCGCCACACTGCAGGTCACCACAAAACAATCACCCACCACACTGCAGGTCACAACAACACACTCACCCACCACACTGCAGGTCACAACAACACACTCACCCACCACACTACAGGTCACAACACAATCACCCACCACACTGCAGGTCACAACAACACACTCATCCACCACACTGCAGGTCACAACACACTCACCCACCACACTGTAGGTCACAAAAACACACACACACCCACTCAATCACCACAACGCAGGTCATAACACTTTTATTTCGACTTCTTCCCTAACAATGTTTAACCTTTGCTCAATCGGAGAAACGTATGAACTCCGATATTTTACACCTTCAGTTGTGCTCATCGTTGCTGGCCTCTTGGCATTTTGGAACCTTTGAGGCATGTGCTCAGCAACACTAATTTGAAAAAAATCAAGAGAGCTCAGTATAGTTCATGGGCCAGAGCAGAAATCGGTACCGTTTAAGGCAGCAACACTTCAGTTGCACCGATTTATTCCCACGGCTAACACAAGCATAGTATTGGGGAACTCGCTCATATCAAATGGCTATCACACAATTCACTGTTATTGGCCACATAAATGAATTGGAACTGCTAAAGTGAAGCCACCTCAGGTGGTGCCGACAAGTGAAATATCTGGTCTGGTCTCACGGACTCGTATAATAATCGCCTGTATGTGTGCATGCGCCGCACCTGCACGCATGCAAGCGCCGCACCTGCGTCGCGTACAAGCGCCGCACCTGCACGAGTGCACATGCGCCGCACCTGCACGAGTGCACATGCGCCGCACCTGCACGAGTGCACATGCGCCGCACCTGCACGCATGTAAGCGCCACACCTGCGTCGCGTACAAGCGCCGCACCTGCGTCGCGTACACGCGCTGCACCTCACCAGATGCAGGGTGTGGGGGTTCGCGTACCCGAGAATGTTCGGATGGGAGAGGCGGTTCATGAGCTGCACTTCACGGAGCATGTTGCCACGGTTGCTGCTCAGGATGTTCATCTTCAGCACCATCACCTTCCCCGTGCCCTTGTCTCGCACCTGAATGGACACACACGTCAACATGAATGCAAGGATAAAAGATCCCCACCGTGCAGCCTCCATAGGCTGGTGGTGGGCCGAGCGCTGTTAGCGAACACCTATGAAAGCCGGTTATGCGGAGGCATGCGTCAGGTGGTGTGGTCAACACCTCGCTCGACCAGCGTCGGTATACCCAGTGCTGACGTTTACGTGCCACACCAGGTACTCCTTCAAAGCCAAGTCTATCAAGTGGCTCTCTAGAGCTCCCTCAAGTGGAGGGCATTTCCGCCAACAGTGATGTGAGCAACACATTCCATGGCTGCACCCTTATCTCAAGGGAGAAGGCTCACAGCCATATCAAATGTTTTCCACTCAAATGGCTCCAGACTTGCACCTTAACCTTAGGTACATAAAAAAGGTGCATTCAGATGTTTGCCGGCGGTTGTGAGCCGTGGCCGGTAATCAATCTCAGGTTGTTGGGATTGACAGTGCAGTTGCTAACCACAATGCCACCGCTCCACCCAAAGGTCAATGCGAGTGCACACATACTCTTTCTGTAACCTGGGATGATTGCTAAAGTTCCCACCCGGCCTGTCAGGAGGCAGCGGAATGTTTAGTCACTGGGCAAACAAATAAGTCAGAATGCACCGTGTTAATTTTTTTGAAACCACAAGGTTACTTATTACCCCGAATGCATTCAATTGGAGGGCTTTTTCTTTAGTGGGTTTGAGAAATATTTACAACACCGGGTGTATCTGAAGAAGGGGTTTATAGTTTTAAAGGTTGGCCATCACAATAGTTCAATGTTCAGTAGGAAGTTTCAAACCGAGCACTACTATCCTAATCCAGGGCGCACAGTGTGTGACACTGTGCCATCTCGTCTTGTCTACGTGCCATAGTTAAGATGGGATGACGAGGAAAAGCAGTTATTTTTTCTCGTCTTGGCCATATTAAAATGTATAACCTAGCTCCATGTAAAAGCGATCATTTATCTCAATCGGTTCTTGCCTGCTCATATATAAAGGTGACCGGGTTGTACGATAGCGCGCCATTGTATATTACTCCAAGACACACGTAGCCCTCCACCTAAGGCGGCTAACCAAAAACAAGCTAAGTATAAAACGTGTCTCGTGGACATTCACTCGATAATAATAATATGACAGTGTCATTTATTTTTACAAGAAAGCCTCACCGAGCACCAAGACTTATTTAAGGATGGCCCCGCATTAGGGGACGTTGGGCCTATTCCTCTTAAGGAGCGTTTCTGTATGCTAGAGAGCTCCTGAGCACGAAGTGAAAAAAAACCCACGCACAAGAGGGGAATAACAAAGGTTCAAACATGTCGCACACCGACTTTCTGTACTGCCAAACTCTTGGCTCCTTCATTAGCCCAATAACTTGTTTGGCTATTGTGGTAATAACACTCAAAGGTCCGCACAGATGGGCTTATAAATCAATTTGTTGTACAGTGCAACGTTGTATATCAGTAATGGCCAATTAACCACTCACACCCCGTGCAGTATTTGTGACTGGTAAAACTAATTTCTACAGATGTTCACAAATCTAATCTTTTTACACGTGCCTATGCCTGAGTGTCCTGTATTACAGATATGCGACGTTGTACTATCCTTCCATTGCATGGCCAACTCAAAGCCCTCCGGGGAGGTTTTTTTTTTACCATTTACACGCAAAAAACCAACCCTCAGTCTCCGAATTGCTGGATTTCACTGGGAAGACGATGACCATATTGATTTACTGCGATGTGCATTGACACTTCACAGCAATGGAATGTGTGCAGTGCCATAAAAAAGACCTGTACTAGAAAACAACCTTTGTTTAAACGTTTAGCCACATTCCACCATTGCAATTAAATCTGAAATCGCAAAGCTTTTACAATCTCGGCTCTCAAAGGGTGCCAAGGCACTGCAACAAAGGTACACAAAAGTACGCAAGCATTCATACAAAGATAAAGATCCTCCCATATAACCATACCAGACAGCGAGGGCAAGTACTGCTAGCAAGCGTCGAGAGGTCGGCACGGCACAGCATCACGTCCGGCCGCCTTTGTCTCCCCAGTGGTGATGTTTACACACCACACCAGGTATTCATTTAAGGCTGAGGAGACCTAGGCGAGGCCCAGGACTGGTTCATGTATTAGCCACTCGTTATAGGTGGCGAAGGGGAGTCGAACTCGGGTCGCCGGGTACGTAGGGTAGTGCACTAACCACGGCACTACCGCTCCCCACAATACATTCACATACAAACGCCATTTTTGGTTTGATTAGTCCAAAGGCCATCACCATCCCCAGGACAAAGATGCAGTGCAGGCCACACACATCAGGGGCATGAAGATACAGGCTATAAATGACCTATATTCTTTGGGTGTTTCGGTAAAGTCACGTAGATAGGTTCAAAGAAAGGAACAAAAAAATAACGAATAAATTACCTTTAAAGGTAAGCGCTTTTCGTAAAAAAAAAATCATGCGGAAAATCAAAATAACACATTTTAAGACGGCACTGAGTAGGCGTTTGGGGCCGTGTGATGGATGGTTCCGAGGCATTCACGTGTGTGCCGGACTCACAAGTCGTCACGCCACGTGGATACAAGGATTACAACTGCACTTGACTTTGGGTGTGGGGGTGGGTTCTGCGCTAAGCGGGACTCTACCGACAACATGGACGACTGTACACCCACTGGAAAATAAAAGAAAACATCCTGACGGTTGAGAAATATTATTTTGGATGCATACCATATTCGTTTTAAAATAATAGACGCATGCATGAATGTGTGGGGTTTTTTTTGACCACAATTAGTATTTATTATCGTCTTTTCGACAACAACTGCCCGAGGAAAATTTGTCGCATCTTCTTGCCAAACAAGATTTCAAACCGGCACCTGTACATCGAGACCAATTCAAGATGCACAACGCGGGACGTAACAGAGAGAAGGCTCAGGTGGCTGGGACATGCGCTGAGAATGGAACCCGAGTCCATAGCGAAAGCTGCCCTACGGTGGGACACCACAAGGGAAAAGACCACGTGGTAGGCCAAAGACCACCTGGCGACGCACCGTTAAAAACCAACTAAAGACCATGGGGGAGGCTGTCTTGGGGTTAAGCAAAGAACGCTGCTAAAGACCGTCCGGCATGGCCATGGGCTTCTTGTGGCCTTATGCTGCACAGGGAGTGAAGAGGAGTAAGTTGTCTTTTCGAACCATTTCATAACCTCTAAACTCGGAAAAGGTGTCGGTGGCCTACGTGTTTTAAATCAAACGTGAATTTTTACAAATATGGTATTGAAAACAGCTGCCTTTGGATGGTTTCGTTACAGCACAAGACTCTAAATAAGCATGCAAAACAACTACATAGGAAAGTCAGTCATTGATTAAATTATTTATGGGCAGGCCGCCTCAAATAATCCATGTATAACACACGATCAAAGGCATCAAAAGAAGTTTTAAATAACGCCTCTGATGGATGAAGCCGATTTTATCAATGGCTGATAAAAGGTGGGTACAAAGGTAGGCCTCCTCCATGCCTCTGTTAAGATTAGATTCAACAACGCGTCAGTCTTTTACAATATTTATATATTTTTTCCTGATAGTATTATCGGCGTCATGTGATTATTTTTGGTGCAGTCATTCATGACCGGCCTAACACCATAAACTCACTCATGACTGTACTGCAACAAAATATCACATGATGCTGATATCAAGATAGCATATAATTATTGTTAATTTTATTATTTGTAACTGGTGATCAGGCTGACCCCTTCAACCCACTACACTTGAGAACCAGGTTCAACCGCAGGTGATTGAAACCTGGATTTGAAGCCAGAGGTCAACACTTTGAACAGATGTCATCACTCTGACCTCTGAACCAACAAGCTACCTTGCGAAAAAAAAGTATTTCACGCTTCTATTGCACAGTCTCATTTTTATTTCCCGTTCTGTATATTCTGCGTCATTTATTCTTTGTCGTCAGCTCCATCGTCATTCAAACAGCTTTTCATGCAATTCGATATAAGTCGAATTAATAGCACTTTACTGAACCCGATATCCGCATGTAAATACATTATGGTGAGCATAACACTCGATTTTAACGAACGCATCGATCAATGTCTGTTAAAGGCTGGGGGGCTATTTTGTCAGCAGAGGGCAGTGCAGCGGAATCCGTTGTTGTACTGTACTTCTATGCCCTAGCATCTATGTTCTCCACCTTGGTGACCAGCTGAGTGAAGCATGCTCAAATGACCTTCACGACCGACAGGACACGGGGAAGGCCCTCATTCAGCAGTGGTTGAAACAAGGGCTGTACATGTACATATAACACATAGGATCTTGTAAATCACAAAAAAGCTAAATTATGTTTGTGCCTGCATACCATTTATTTGTTCATCGGATTGCGGCGACTCACGTGACACACGACCCCGGTTCTTTTATAGCGCACAAAGAGATCCGCTCGCTTTTCATTTCTACTCTACGGCCCGTCGCGCAAACCTCCAATGCTCCAGTATTTATCTAACGTCCCTAAATCCCCCAAATGGTGAAGGTTCAGAACGTTTTGCTAACACATTTTCTCAACGCCAAACATTAATCATCCACGGTGCACATTTACCGTGCCCTCCCTGCTTAAACAAACCAGCCATCACCCAACTTGAAATAAAAAGTAATCCGGCGCTTTGGGCCCCCCTCCCCCCCCCCCCGAGCGCTTTTGGGGCGGATCAAATACATTTCTGCAACTTCCAAAGCCGCCAGGAGCTGCGGGATCATGTTCATGTACAATCCACTGCTGCTGCTGGGCAATAGCCTCCCTATGCCGTCTGGGTTGCGGGTGGGGGGCTGCATGACCATATTTGACCAGGCTCTGCGGTGCGGGTTGGTGAGAGGCGGACGGGGGGTGTACAGACGTCCCGTACACAACATCGCGCCAACAGCAGCCTTTAACGCCTGCTTTATGCACGGTGGTCGCCCATCCAAAAACTAGCGAGGTTGACACCAACTTCACTGCCGCGATCTGACA